TCTTAAGATTGTGAAATAAAATTTGAATTCGCACACTAGCTAAGTACTTTTGGAGCTTTTGATACTCAAAAAAGCATTCCTAATAACTGCAGCTGTAATAACAGGAAGTGTCAAAAAAGACCTCAGTTAAAACATTTAATAATAGATGGTAAGGTTTTTTTTTCCCTTAACCTATACCAGATGGCCTGTCATTTGAAGACATCCAGAGGAATGTACCTTTTAACTCTCGCTGACACCTGCATCCTGTTTTGCTTATATTTAAGCAGCTGGAGTTTTAAAAAACTTCAGATTATGACTTATTACTTAATCACAGGTTATTGCCTTTCATAAATTGATAGCTGCCATGCTGTGGGTTAAAGATAATGAAACAATGGATCTGTTTGAACTCTCTACTAATTTCCAATGGCACTATTGAGTTCAAGTTTACAATCAGTGTGATTTCTGCCTGCCACTGCAGTCCACTAGCAAACGTGGTATCTGTTGGAAATGGACCAGAATTTCTACATATAGGTCCCACCTGCATTTTTAAAGGATTCTGCATCTGAATGCTAACAACTTTATTCTGAACCTTGTGCATTGTTATTTTCTTCCCCACTTTGAAGCATTCACTGGGCTTGTTAATGAGCACAATATTAGGTTTATCTGAATCTTGTAACCAAATCCGTGTAAATCCCACGAGTGCTATTTAGACTATGTGATATAAATTTCAAACGGTTTTGTGGTTCAACGAAGCTCCATATTCGAGACGTGTTGACTGTGTAAGACACATTCATAATGTGATCAAACTGGCTAATTATCAATCTGTAAATCCTTCCAATACAACAGGTGGCAGACAGTGTGAGAGTGTTTTCTGGTCGAGCATATACTGCGGAAAGCAACAACAAACCACCACAGAACTTTGGCAATCAATCATCATTGACAAACGTAATCAAAATAGAAGTTCATGGGTGCCCAATACCCTTTTAAGGGATGGTACCTGAGAGAGTGTGATAGAGAAATATGAATTGCATTGACCTTCTTTTAACTAAGTGGAGTGGATAGTGCCCTTCGGAGTATACAAATAGACGTGTAAAACTAGAACTGCAGAAAATACATGCTAGAACATTCCAATTATATCAGAATGTATCAGTGAGAGTCCCCAACAGGGTTGCATTGTATTTTGAAGTGAGGTTTTGTTATGAAGTTGGGTAGAGTATTCATGAATTGGAAGGCAGAAAAAGTTAGAAATTGTTAGTAAAAGTGATAGCGGGGGGAAAAGCAGTGTGTTCTCCCTCTAAAAGATGGTGATTTTTTTGGAGTTAAAAAGGATGTCTGACTAGCAGTTTGAAGTGCAAGAGCATCCAAATGGAAACATTTTGTATTGAATAGCCAAGCAGCATTTTTACCAAGGCAACAAGATTGAATTTGGCCAATAAATTTAAACCAAGCACTTAGTGATTCAAAGCCAACTGAATTTAAAAACTGATGGTGTTGACAACATCGAACCAATCCTACATAAAGTAGTATTTCTTATCATTACGGGTATAAAGATGAGGGCATTTGGCAAAACCAAGGAGAGCCAACTGCTATCTGCAGCGAGAGCAAGTCTGTCATCTGAGATACAAACCTGGCTTTCACATAAAATTGAGCTCTCTGAAAAGACGCATCAAAGGTACCACGGCATTTTAGCCCAAAGTTCCTACCAAAAAACTTTAAGATAAAAGCATCCAAGAGAGCAGAATCGGCAGAAGAAAGGCATTTGTGACGTGAAATCAACAAAAGGAAATTGGAGATAAAGCGGAGAAGACAATAGACTGTGCCAACTTAGAGAGATTAAGATAGAATTTATTGTTTTTTATTGACTGGATTCGTACAAGGAGTCTTGTTTATTTGAACAGCATTCCAGTAGAATTTAGACCAATTAGGAAGTAGTTAGTAGTCTAGCGGGGGCATTGTTCAGTTTGTTAGTAATTCTGTTAATTTGTTCATTGTTAGGGTTAAGCAAATAAATAGTTTCTCATTTGTAAAGTGGAGATCCGGGATCTTCTTTCGTTTAACAGGTTACGATGGGAAAGGTGAGCTTCTCTGGATGTTTTGGGGTAATTAGTAGAAGGGAACCTCTACTCCCATCATAACAAGTTGGGGCTTGTGTTTTGGGTTATCTATCAGAGCGGTTCATCCATTCACCCTCTTAACAGTTTTATGAGGTCTTCTCTGTCAAAATTCACTGACGGTGCATAAGCAGCATGAAAAACTTCTTTTCTGTGCATGGAGTATTGGTGGAAAAGAAAGAATGAACAATTGGTATGCAGTGTTTTTGCAGGTGTGAGAAAACACTAAACTGCAAGGTCTTAATATGAATAAACAGCATGTTAACATGTATATTGGCATTGCACATTTTTACACTTAGATCTGAAATAAGTAGATGCTTTGATAACAGCAGTAAGACCAGTGACCATGTTAGTGACAAAGAAATCTGCATGTTTACAAATTCATTCTGAGATGTGGGTGCCATTTTCAAAGCTGGTATTTCCTGCCAATTCCTAATTTCCCTTAACGTGATGATGAGCTGGCCTTTTGACCACGTGTAGTGAATATTGTGAAGGTATGATCAATGGGGCTTTCTTCTTCCCTGAAACTGCACAGCTGCTTTTCTGCCTATGTGAAATGCTGTTGCTCACGTGACTCCTTTTGAGAGTGTACTTTTCCAGATGAAGCATTGCAAATCGTTTACCTGTTTTAGCTGCTACTCACATTGATGTAAACTTCCCTGCTGCCAGCCTTCACTGGCACCTCTAGCAAAGCTGTTATAGTATAGCCATAAGACTAGCATCCATATGACCATGTGGAAAATGACCCAGGTATATCCTGTACACAAAATGTGGGACAAATCCAGTCAATTACCATCCCAACAATGTACTCTAGATCATCAAGCTGATGCAAAGAGTCACCAACAGTGCTTTCAAGCAGTATTTGTTTAGCAATAGCTTGGTCTCTGATGTTCAGCTTGGTTTCTGCCTGGTCTGTTCAACCACTGACCTCATTACAGCCCTGGTCCAAATATGGACAAAAGAGCTGAATTCCAGAGGGAGGTGAGAGTGACTGCCCTTTGATGTCAAGGCTTCATTTGATTGTGTGGCATCAATGAGCTGTAGCAAATCTAGAGTCAATGGGAATTGGGAGGAAAACTATCCAATTGTTAATTATTCTTGGCACAAAATAAAATGGTTGTGGTGGTTGTCAGTTATCTCAGCTCCAGGGTATAGTGTCCTTGGTCCAACCATCTTCGTCGATGACCTCCCCTCCGTCATAAGGTAGGATGGGGCATATTTGCTAATGATTACAGTGTTCAACATCGTGCACAACTCCTCAGATACTGAAGTAATCAATGCCCCAATGCACCAAGTCCTGGACAATGTCCAGGCTTTGGCTGTCAAATGACAGTTAACATCCATGTCACACAAATGCCAGGCAATGACCATTTCAACAAGCGAGAATCTAACCATTGCCCCTTGACATTCAGTGGCACCACAATTGCTGAATCCTCCACTCAACATCCTGGGCATTACCTTTGATCAGAAATCGAAGTGAACTACCCATATAAATCCTGTGGCTACGAGAGCAGCTCAGAAATGAGAACATTGCAGCCTGCTTGATTGGCACCACATCCACATTCACTCCCTCAATCACCAACACTCAGTCACAGCATCTATAAGGCGCACTATAGAAAATAATCAAAGCACCTTAAACAACACCTGCCAAACAGACAACCACTACCACCTAGAAGAACAAGGACACCGATGCATGACAACACCACCAAATACAGGTCCCCCTCCAAGCCAACATCCTGACATTGGAAGTGTATGAGGTTGTTGACTTGCTTGCCGAGCAAGTCAACAACCTCATCCACAACCCAAGCTTAAAGATCTTTTCCAAAACTGTAAATTGGAAGTGTATCACCATTCATTCAATATCACTGGTTCGAAATCCTGGAAGTCCCTCCTTAATAGACTTGTGGGTTTAGCTACACCAAATGGATTGCAGCAGTTCAAGAATGCAGCCCACCACCAATACCTGAAGGAAACGAAGGATGGGCAATAAATGTTGGCCCCCAGCGAAGGCCATATCTCATGAATGAGTTTAAAAAATACTAGGAATCTCTCTGCTGATTATCACCTACTGCCCTCTGCTGTATGTCCGCATGTGTCTGAGAGGCCATTTCAAAGTGAATTTGTGTTGTAAATGTGAGGCCATTGATATTGCCATTGATAAGCCAAATATTTTTTCAAACTTCAGAAATGAAAGCAAATGTGTTTACTGTCTCCTTTCAAATGTCAGCACTGCTTTCATTTTCAAAACTATTTGTATATGTAATCAAAAGCCATAGTAAACAGTAAGTAAAAGGTTAAATTATATTTAAGGTTTTATAAGAAAGCTTAAAATAAAATCGGCTAAAGCTGTATTTGTGTGGTTTTTGTGATGCTATGTAAAGCGTTCAATTAGTTCACAGCCTGCATTCTTAAATGTGCTCCATGTCTCTTGAGTTTTGACAACTGGTAAAATACAAATATTAAAATGCCTCTGGAGAGAAAATTATTATCCAAAGAATGTTTATTTTTTCTTCCTGTAAAAGAGTATTTTTTATAAAAAAAGTTCAATCTCACCATTTGCTTCCAAAAAAATCTGAACAGAATAAATTGTGATCTTCTCCAGATAGGAGCCACCACCTGCAAAGCCGTTGGGTTTGCCCATAGTCACCTTCTCAGCTGCTGCTTTATTTTTGGGTGTGTGTGTGTGTGTGTGTGTGTGTGTGTGTGTGTCTGTTATTGTTTGTGCTGGAGGCCCCTGTATTCTTTTCCATCAAACATTTCTAATGCAATTCCAAGTACCTATGAGCCTAGCATGGTTCGAATATATTTTGCATTTTCTTCAAGGGAGGGAAAAACCTGTGTTTCAAATTACTTTTTGATTCATTCAGTATTTAACTGTAGTCTACACTGAAGACATTTTCTGTTTTCTAGCTACAAGTTCTGCTCATCTAGAAGATCTAGCTTATCTTGATGAACAGCGACACACACCGTTGCGGACATCTCTGAGAATGCCACGGCAGCATGTGGTCGGAGGTCGCACCCCACAGGACCTTCGAGGTAAGCAGCAGGCCAGATTGTGCTATGCTGCGTAGCATTTTGTTATCCGGGTCTTTTCCTCTATTTAACAGCCTCTATACAGTGTAACATCCTCTATGGCCTACTGTGCACAAGTGGTTGGGAGATGCTATGTATAGCTTCAAGCTTTTTATTGATTTTTTTTATTTGAATGGAATAACTTGAAATGTTAAGTCTTCAAAGCAAGTGCCTTGGTGAACTGACCCATTTAGGATGCTGATATTTAAAAGTACCCACCTTAAACGCCTGCTTTTATTCTTAAAGAAGTATTGGTGAGGCCATAATGATGAATGATATCATGTTGATTTGGCTTGGGACTGGCTGGTCCAGTCGTTGACAAAAACCACACCCGTGAGATGGAACTCCTTACATTCAGAAGGAGGTACTTTCAGCTACTTGGCTGCCTTACTGTTTTTAAACATCATTTTCATTTTTTGGAACTCATTTGTTTCTCTTTCTTGGAGGAGTTGATTTTCACATGAATTGCACTTCTCCAGCTTTTAAAAAGACTGCTTTGTAGATGCTGAGGTAGTCACTCAACTTGTGCTCAGGGTCTGCATTTGTCACTGATAGTTTGCTCCTTGGTGAGCAAAAACATCCTGTGTTGACTTGCCGATCAACACTCTTTGATATTTTTTTCACCCTACTTCATAAAGAAACACGTCACCTCAGTGTATTGTTTTCTCAGTACAAGTTAAAATTAATTGTTGTCACATGTGGAATCGTGAAGAAGTATCCATTCTCCATCACTCATTGGAAAAGAGTGTTGTGCACAAATATGTTGTTTCACTGGATTGATAAGAGTAACTTTTTATAAAATATTTACAGAATATTTAGCAGCTCAACTCATAGGAACTGGAAGAGGCCATTCAACCCCTTGAGCCTCTTCCAGTATTCAGTGAGACCAGAGCTGCACTGTATCTAAGCCCTCTCCTACATCCCTTTAATAGCCTCGGTTAGCAAAAAGAAACTACCAATATCGTATTTAAATATATTAATTGAGATAGTATTTACTGCTATTTGTGCGAGAATGTTACACACTTCTAATACCCTTTGCGTGAAGAACCGTTTCCTGTTTTTCTTCCAAATGGACTGACTTAAATTTAAAGGTTATTTGCCGTTGGGCTCGAGACCACACACCACTAGATAAGGTGCTCAGTATACAACCTGTCAATCCATACAACATATGTAGAACTAAAAACTTAAATCAAGTTACCCTTTAGTCTTCTGTATTCCAGGAAATACAAACTTAGTTTCTGTTATTTATCCTAAGAATGGAGTCTTTAGATCCCCAGTGTTATTCCGCTAAATCTGTGCTGTACTCTTCGCAAAGACAATGTATTGTTTCTGTATTGCAGTGCTCTGGCCTGTTCGCAGTACTCCAAATATCATTTAAATAAAGCTTTGTATAACTGTAGCAAAACTTGTTTTTACGTTCTAACCATCTAGAACTAAGTACTGCCTATAAAGATTTGTTCAGATCCATAATTTAACAAACAGACCATCAAATCGTATGTGACCAAACTAAATTATGCACCTTTCCAAGTTGTATTTATTGTTTCAATTCTCAACTTAGGCTTGAGGCAGAAGGTGTTCAAGATATGCCAATCTCCTGAAAGGTTACACGTTGTGTTGCACCATGGTTGATGATGATGGTCTGGTAAAATCTAATTCTTCATACTTAACCCCCTCAAGAGAATGTAGCACAATTAAGACATTCTAAATTAAAGGACACTCTGAGAATTGATTGACAAAATTAATTGAAACCTTGCAAAATGATCTCAAATGTACCAAATGTGTTCTAATGTACCAGGATCTTTTCCAGGTCATGGTATACATACAGAAGCAAAATCATAATGGAGAACGAAAGGTACTGGCTAGTACACCTGCACATCTTGATGAGTCAAAGGCATCTTTTAAAAGCAGGACCTTTTAAAAGACCCACTAATAATGAATGGATCCTTATTCTGTCTATCCACAATGTAAACAAATGAGTAAATTCAAAATGTATATAATTTGCTACATCTAGGCTTTTAACACAATAATTTCATTTACTCAATATTTACAGGACACATAATTTCTGTGGCTGTTAATGTTAGTTTTATTTATTGCCGTATGAGAATTTGTTTTAAGCAGTTTAATAAAACTTGCACTGAAGCCACTACCAGATGGTGGTAGATTTGAGACCCAGGGCTGCAGTCTGTTGCTAGGTCCACCTACAGTGATTGAGATGCATATTCACAATTATTGGTCAAACATGAATTAGAACACATAATGGGTAGTGAAATTTAGTGCTGCTGCTGGAGAAAGACATCAGGTATGCTTTTCGTCATTCAATATGGATCAGCTTTGACATGAATTTTAGAGGAGATTTAAAACTTTCACTACCCTTATTAACTTGAGTTACACCCTAGTGATATGTCATTTGGAAGGAAAAACTGAGCGATCGCATTCTTTATTATTTTATTGTTTTACTGTCCCCCCACCTTTCTGCTCCTAACCCCCTTTCAAACCCAGGACTGTCTAATGTTCTATCAGAAAACTAATTTTTCCTTGCTACTCTGAATTACGTAGAATTAGTGAAATTGCTGAATCCCCATAGTGACCATGTTTAACTAACTAAGTGAAACCACTGCTACCTTTGCAAACTCATGAAATTGAGAATTCTCTCTCTTTTTCGGATGCTAGTTCACCAGAAGCCATTTTGTTTTTGCATGCCCTCTGGGTAGGGAGTACTAATTACTGCATTTTTAAAACTCAGAAGGTTGTAAATATTTATCATGGTGCTGTTTGTATAAATGCAGCTAGAGGTCAATGAAAATATGTTCCCAAACTTGAATCATACCTTTCTCATCATTCTGGTCAGTGACCTGTGGAATTAAAGTAGATATAATGTTAAGAGCTTACAGTGAAACAGATTGATAGTATTTTCAAGGTGGATTTGACTTTCGTACAACTATTTTTAAAGTAAGACTAATCTTGCAATGTTCTTTTCTCCTCCTTGTGCATTGGCTGAAATGGAAAGGATAAGAAGATTGAACATTGAATTGACTGACAGATCCTCTATCCAAATGTTTTAAACTTACTTCCAGGAACATTTCACCTAGTGTCCTCTAGTAAAACTAATCTCATCAAACTGTTAATAAAATATTGGTGAAATTATTAGTTAGTTTCAAAATTCAGTTTCCATTTTGATAATTGAAGTAAAATTAAATGAAAAAAGTTCTCCCTCTTTTCCCTATCTGTCTCCCCTGTCTGACCTCAGTCTGTTCCCTCGGATTAATACCCTTTTTGGAATTTATGTGGATTCTACTCAAACTAAAAGGCATAACAGATGTGAAATTAGAGCAGAGTACTTTTCATATAAAGACCCTATTTTTAGAATATGAAAAAATATAGAATAAAGGTTTTAAAATTGATCAACTAATTTTTAGCAGAATTCCAGAATCAAAAGAAAATGTTCAATCTGTGCAGCTGGCTGATATTGACATAGGGAAACGAGGTACACCGTACCTTCTCAGACTGCACAATACAAGCTCAGTTCATGGATTTATGTAACTGGCAAAATATGAGGTTTAACCCTCGACTTCTTAAGGGATTGAGTTCTTCAATAAAAACAATAACTTTAACTAAACAACACTAAAGTCAATTAAATAGATAAAATGCATGCTGCAGTTGTTGAATTGTTTGTTTAAGCCATATCTTTGCACTTTAATGGGCAGCAGTGTGTCTCAGTTAGCACTGCTGCCTCACAGTGTCAGGGATCCAGGTTCTATTCCACCGTAGGGTGCCTGTGTGGAGTTTGCACATTCTCCCTGTGTCTGGTGAGTTTCCTCCTGATGCTCCAGTTTCCTCCCACAGTCTAAAGCTTAAGTGGATTAGCCGTGTTAAATTGCTCCCTGTGTCCAGGGCTGTGTAGGTTAGGTGGATTACCCATGATAAACTCAGGGTTGCGGGAATCGGGTAGTGTACTGGGTTTGCACATGGGATGCACTTCAGAGGGTCGATGCAGACTCGATTTGCTGAATGGCTTCTCTCTGTGCTATAGGGATTCTGTTTTTTGGAATCTAAAAATCTTTACTGATGAAGAAAATAACATTAAATACAGGAACAAGATTTGGCATTTGACCTATAAAGCATGCTCTGCCATTCATTACAATCGTGGCTGATCATCTATTTCAATGCCATACCCGTGCTTTCTCCCCATATTCCAATTGATGCCTTTAGTGTCAAAAAATTTCTTTCTTAAATATATCCAGTGACTTGACCTCCACTACTGTATGTAGTAGAGAATTCCAAAAGTTCACCATGTTCTGAGTGAAGATATTTCTCCTCATCTCAGTCCTGAATGGTCCACCTTGTATCCTGAGGCTATGTTCCCTTGTTTTCGAGCCTCTTGTCAGGAGGTCATCATCTCTGCAAACAGTCTATATAGCCTAGTCAAAATTGTATATGTTTTGGTGAAGTCCCTCTCATTTTCCTAAACTCCAATGAATACAGGCCCAGTCAACCAATCTCTCCTCATACAAAGATCTTGTCATCCCAGGGCTAAGAATGGTGAACCTTTGCTGAACTCCCACTGACAATTGTGTCTTGGGTAAGGAGACTAAAACTGCACAGTCTTCCAGAGGTGAATGTTCAAGCTACTGCGTGACATCTTTGTACCTGCATTTAAACCCTCTTGCAATAATTGCTGGTATATAGAGTAATAGAGTTGTACAGCACAAAAACAGACCTTTAGCTTCAACTCATCCATGTCGACCAGATATCTTAAATTAATCTAGTCCCATTTGCCAGCATTTGGCCCATATCCCTCTTAACCCTTCCTATTCATATAACCATCCAGATGCCTTTTAAATGTTGTAATTGTACTAGCTTCCACCATTTCCTCTGGCAGCTCATTCCATACACGCACCACCCTCTGCGTGAAAAAGTTGTCTCTTAGGTCTCTTTCAAATGTTTCTCCTCTCACCTTAAACCAATGCTCTCTAGTTTTGGATGCCCCTATGCTGGGGAATAGACCTTGTCTCTTTACCCCATCCATGCCCCTCATGATTTTATAAATCTCTATAAGGTCACCCCGCAGCCTCTGACACTGCAGGGAAAATAGCCCCAGCTTATTCAGCATCTCCCTTTAGTCAAACCTTCCAACTCTGGCAACATCCTTGTAAATATTTTCTGACCCCTTTCAAGTTTCTCAACATGTTTCCTGTAGCAGGGAGAGAAGAATTGCATGCAGCATTCCAAAAGTGGCCTAACCAATGTCCTGTACAACCACAACATGACCTTCCAACTCCTATACTCAATGCAGTGACCAATAAAGGCAAACATACCAAATGCCGCCTTCACTATCCTAGCTACCTGTGATTCTGCTTTCAGGGAACTATGAACTTGCACTCCATGGTCTCTTTGTTCAGCAACGCTTCCCAGGACTTTACGATTATATTCCAGTGATAAGGAAGAACTGTAGGAAAAGAGAGAGCCAGCCATGGATGTCTGAGGAAATAAAGGAAAGTATCAGATTGAAAAAAAACACATACAAAAAAGCAAAGAGTAGTGGGAAACTAGTAGACTGGGAAATCTTTAAAGGCCAACAGAAAGCCAAAAAAAAGTTATAAAGAAAAGTGAGATAGACTATGAGAGTAAACAAGCTCAGAATATAAAAACAGGCAGCAAAAGTTTCTATAAATATGTAAATCGTAAAAGAGTGGCGAAGGTAAACATTGGTCCTTTAGGGGATGAGAAGGCCAATTTAATAACTGGGAATGAGGAAATAGCCGAGATATTAAACAGTTATTTCGTGTCGGTCTTCACAGTGGAAGACACAAATAACATGCCAAAAACTAATGGCAAGAAGGTTATAGCAGGTGAGGACCTAGAAACTATCATTATCACTAAGGAGGCAGTGCTGGGCAAGCTAATGGGGCTAAAGGTAGACAAGTCTCCTGGCCCTGATGAAATGCATCCCAGGGTACTAAAAGAGGTGATGGGGGAAATAGCAAATGCACTAGTAATTATTTACCAAAATTCACTGGAATCTGGGGTGGTTCCCGCAGATTGGAAAACAGCCAACGTGACGCCACTGTTTGAAAAAGAAAGTAGACAAAAAGCAGGTAACTATAGGCCAGTTAGCTTAACTTTGGTAGTGGGGAAAATGCTTGAATCTATCATTAAGGAAGAAATAGCAAGACATCTGGATATAAATTGTCCCATTGGAAACACCCACCATGGGTTCATGAAAGGTAGGTCATGTTTAACTAATTTGGTGGAATTCTTTGAGGACATTACCTGCATGGTGGACAGTGGGGAACCTGTGGATGTGGTGTATCTGGATTTCCAGAAAGCATTTGACAAGGTGCCACTCCAAAGGCTGCTACATAAGATAAAGTTGCACTGTATTACAGGTAATGTATTGCCATGCATAGAGGATTGGTTGACCAGTAGAAAGCAAAGAGTAGGGGTAAATGAGTGTTTCGGGCGGTCAGTGGCTAGCGGTGTGCCTCAGGGATCAGTGTTGGGACCGCAATTGTTTACAATTTACATAGATGATTTGGAGTTGGGGACTAAGTGTGGTGTGTCAAAATTTGCAGATGATACTAAGATGAGTGGTAGAGCAAAGTGTGCAGAAGACACTGAAGGTCTGCAGAGGGATATAGATAGTCTAAGTGAGTGGGCAAAGGTCTGGCAGATGGAGTACAATGTTGATAAGTGTGAGGTCATCCATTTTGGTCGGAATAACAGGAAAATGGACTATGTTTTAAATGGTAAAAAATTGCAGCATGCTGCTGTGCGGAGGGACTTGGGTGTCCTTGTGCGTGAATCACTGAAGGTGGGATTGCAGGTGCAGTAGGTAATTAAAAAGGCAAATGGAATTTTGTCTGCCATTGCTAGAGGGATGGAGTTTAAAAACAGGGAGGCTATGCTGCAGCTGTATAGGGTCCTGGTGAGGCCACATCTGGAGTACTGTGTGCAGTTTTGGTCTCCTTACTTGAGAAGAGATATACTAGCACTGGAGGGGATGCAGAGGAGATTCACTCGGTTGATTCCAGAGTTGAGAGGGTTGGATTATGAGGAGATACTGAGTAGACTGGGATTATACTCATTGGAATTCAGAAGAATGAGGGGAGATCTTATAGAAACATATGAGATTAGGAAGGGAATAGATAAGGTGGAGGCAGGGAGGTTGTTTCCGCTAGCAGGTGAAACTAGGACTAGAGGGCATCGCCTCAAAATAAAGGGAAGCAGATGTAGGACTGAGGTCACGAGGAACCTCTTCACCCAAAGGGTTGTGAATCTGTAGAATTCCCTACCCAGTGAAGCGGTTGAAGCTACCTCGCTGAATGTTTTTAAGGCAAGGCTAGATAAATTTTTGAACAGTAAAGGAATTGAGGGTAATGGTGAGTGGGCGGGTAAGTGGAGCTGAGTCTCAAAAAGATCAGCCATGATCTTATTAAATGGCGGGACAGGCTCGAGGGGCCAGATGGCCGCCTCCTGCTCTTAGTTCTTATGTTCTTAAGTGTATAAGTCCTGCCCTGATTTGCCTTTCCAAAATGCAGCACTGCACATTCACTTAAATTAAACTCTATCTGCTGCTCCTCGGTCCATTGGCCGATCTGATCAAGATCCCGTTTTATTCTGAGGAAACCTCCTTCACTCTCCTGCTTGATTTCAGTGACTGATGTTCAAGAACACCCAGATCCTTTTACGTATCAATATTTTTTTCCAATTTAGCACCATACAAATAATACTGTGTTGTTTTTACAACCAGAGTGGGCAGCCTCACTCTCATCCATGTGATTTCCTTGCTGTCTGATCGATTGTCCTGTTACAGTATGTTTTTATGTTCTTGAAAGTTTCTTCTCACACTTTTTTTTTCTTTTAATCAAGTCAATTAAAAAAAATTATAGCAAGTATTTTAATTTGAAGGAACTGATGACCAATGACCAGAATCAAGAGATGGCTTTCTGTTGGTAAAACCCATTTTAACTGAATATAGGAATTTATGATGAGAAACATGTTGACGTGCGGACAAAACTGTCATAGGAAATGTGAACTGTACCAAGACTTCATATCTGTGAGGTTAAAAACATTAAAAAGTCAGATTTTAATGGTGCACATTTAAAAGTCTTGTGTTGTATAGCAGTCTTCACGTTTTAATTGCTTCAAACCTGAGGCAATAATTGCTGCAATGTATACCTGGGCAATATCTGCTGTTGTACTTTTTAGTGCTGCAGTGCCAAGCTTTTTAATTGGATTTTAGTTGTATTTATTTCTCATTTGAATTAATAATTGCCTTAAATTGAAGGATGGCCTCTGTACAGTCCTGTATTCTTTTAATTTTCTCATGAGTTAAACTTGTAAATGTTGAAGATAATGCCAATCTGGCTTTTGCACACTTCAAGTGGGTTAAACCCAAATCATTCTTTCATTCCTGCATAATGCTACTTGCGTACTTTTTGACTGCTGTAAAGCTGAGGCTGTACACTGATGTAACTGTGCTTATATGGATTTTAGAGAGTGGTGCTTTGTCTACTCATTTGACGATGCAACAACCTTTTGATTAAGATTTGCACAGCAAGTCTTGAAAATGCAGTGCCAAGAATAGAACAACAAAAGAGTCTGTAGTTTGTCATCTCAAATGGTTGTTGCAGCTGACCTTGCACCTGCTTAGTTCCACAGTACACAATGTCACATCATGTGCTGATTCTCTGACAGGAAAGGAAAATTAGAATAAGGCTGTAATGTTTGCTATCTGTGTGCTGAATGAAATGAAACTGTTTAGCATCAGAAGTCCATGCCATGCTTGAAGTCTGATGCCTGTTTATTATTGCTCTTATGCTTGTGATTTTTGCTAACATTTTACATCACTTTCTGGCTTTTCTCTGATTTTTGCTTTAGCCTCCACTAATGCCCATGCTTGGCACACTCATTCACGTAAGTTACAGTTCTTGTTAATATAACCTTGAAGTGTTCAATTTAATTTGAAGGCAACACAGTCTTTGGCTGCTCGGAAAGCAATGGATTACCTTGTATGTAAGTGCAAGATAAAGAAACATACATTTTGAGAAAGTTAGTTCCAAATTCTTATCCTAGAAGAAAGAAGTACTGGGAAGCACCTATTTTTGATAGACAACAGAGTTGAGGGTTATGGGATGACCAGCAGGAAAGTGAAGTTGAGACCACAACCAGATTAACCATAACCTTGTTAAATGGTGGAGCAGGCTCAAAGAAACTAAATAGCCTGCCCTTGTTCCTAATTCCCATGTTCCTATTTTTGTTCTTTGCTTCTAACCTTTGACTCTTAACTACTTAAAAATCTTTTGGCCAAAGAACAGATTTTGCTGTTGCACTTTCTTACAGTTCCAAACTATAATATTGATCTCCTGTACACACTAAAATCTAGATTTCTGATTGCATCGGCCCTTTAATTGTAACACATTAAGCCCAATTAAAAATTCTAGGCTGGAGTGTTTTGAAAGCTGATCAAATTGCAGCAAAAGTTTCAGGAAGCAAACTCCATTAAATGAACAATAGCTAAGAAAGATTTTGAAATATTAAGAGGCCTTCCATGAAAGATGAAAATGAGGACTTTTTCTGCAAATTGTTTTTAGTCTTTGAATTCTCTTCCATAAAGAGCAATGGAGTTAGGATCACTGAATATATTTCAGGCTGAGTTGGTCAGATTTTTTTGATGATGGATAATGTGGGACAAACAGACATAATCCTAATTAAAAGCTGCAACAAACTGTGGCAATTTAATTAATGTTTTTAATTCAGTCACAGAATGTGGGTGTCTCTGGCTAGGCTAGTATTTATTGCTCATCCCTAATTATGCAAAGGGTAGTTAAGAGTCAATCACATTGTTGTGGGCCTGGAGTTGCATTAGGCTCGATCAGGTAAGGATGGCAGATTTCCTTCCCTAAGGAACATCTCCCTTGAATAATGCATTAACTCTGTTACTGCTGACTGTGCCAAAGAGGCTGTTATGATTCCTGAGGAGACTGATTAGTTGAAAACTTAATTGAACATCTAGTGCCTGACAGACAAGGATCACACCACAAGAGTTCACATTTTAATACATTTACCCTAAAAAAAAACAAACTGAAAGCAATATTAACTAAACACTATTTCAATTGCCAACTTATGCTATGGAATAGATTTGCTCTATTCAACTTTTAAAACAACTGAAAATACCCAATCCCCTACCACTTTTATCCTTTGTTCCTTAAATGGGCTCTTCGTTCTCCAAGAAACAGTTGTGATTTTTAGCTCCTGAAGGCTTGCTTGCTTTCTTTTCTCACCCTGAATTGATTTTCATGGGACGAACAAATTTGAGATTCACCCCTCTATTCAGTTCTGTCCAGATTTTGCCTTGTTTAAATCTCAATGACCTCTAAGGATTTGGCGTAGATTTGTAGCTCGGGTTGTGGATGTTGTGGTTGGCTGGCTCGCCGAGCTGGTTCGTTACTGTTCTGCAGACGTTTCGTTACCCTGCTGGGTAACATCATCAGTGCAGCCTCCGATGACCTCAATCTGAGCAAGAGCTACTAATCTCATTCTGCATGGTGAGCCTTTACTGCCTCTAGTTCTTTGGTACCAAGTAGAAATGGTAATAGATCATTCTAAAGATCATTTAAAATTCCTTACATCTTAAAATTAAACAGTTTACAATGTGACTGCTTACAAACCCTGACATTCCTAGCATTCTCCCAAACAGGACTTGAAGATTAACAACCTATCTACTGTCAGAACAGCTAATCTGGTAATTGATTCCAGCTGTTCTTTCTGTTAAATTCCAAGAATGACCAGGAGACTGAAGCATTAAATAGCAGGAGCTTTATTGTGGCGATGTTTACTCTACAGGTAGCAAGGTTAGACAAACCTGTTTCCTGCACAAATGGCCAATGACATCATCACTGTCATGTAGTTTGACCCTTAGTGACAGTCCACCAAATGGTACTTACATAAATACACAACATCATCTTCCCAGTAAAACAACTTGTGCCTTCCTTTCACCTTTTAACAACCAAGCCATCTAAGTTTGTCAGGCAAAATTCACAAAGGTCACATGACTCCCTTAATGCCTCCATTTTCCTAACTCGAAGCAAGAATTCCAAATCACAAGAATTTTACAAACTTTGTGCTTCTAGCAACAGCTATTACAATCCCTATTAAACGATTGTTACTGAAATCTGTAGATAGCTCAATTTTAGATTAAGATAGTGCATTAACCAAAATAATCCTAAATTATCATACCTAGAAGTGTGACCAATTTTAGTCTGCTCCTCCAGGTAGCAGACTATTTTATTTAGCTGTTAATATTGCTGCTGTGCTATAAATCATCTCAAATGTTACAGGACAAATAAGGTGACTTGCCGATATTTAGAAAAACAGATTCAGCTGATCAGAGACTTCCTTAAAATGTAGCTGTTCCAAGAATACCAGCATCTTCAAAACCATATTTAATAGTACCACTTTATACCAAATGTTCTTGCCTAATGAAGTATTAGGAGCAGTGATAGTTTAACTTGTTCGCCAATAAAATTATAATGTAGACTTGGAGCCCATATTTTAATCTGAAGTCTAAACATTAACACACAGATACAGTATAAGATGCTCTGTCAAGGTTAAAAAATTGTCTTTAACTCTTGCATAAAAGGATTTACAATTAGTTATACCATTGTGGTAAAGATTACTTTATACTATAATGAAACATGTCAATGAGATGTATGGAAAACGATGGTCTAGTTGCAGCTCCAGCAATATCTTCATGACTAAGATGTGTGCCTGCATTAAAAACTATCAGAGGTTAACCAAGGATGATAGTTATAAAATGTTCTGCGTGGTATGAATTTGGTAACTAGCTATTTATAGATGTTATATCATAGTATAGGCCTCTCCTCATCACTCAGCGAATGTGTTACTGAGCTGAGCAAAACAGGAATAGTTCAAGTTAATCATGCCAGACCTGTAGGACGGATGCTGTAAGTTATCTCAATTTCCCCAGAGTTCGGGAGGAGATATTCATTTTAGACATTTAATTCTCTGATAATTCCTTTCAAGATAGTTAGTTGTGGGCATTCTGCAATAACAAGATTGATCTTGGTTGTTTTGCTCCTGTGCTTGAATGAACTGCAACGCTTGCAGTCAATACTCTTATGTAAAGAGCCACCAAGTTAATCAGAGGGTACCTTGTGTCCATAGAGCTGTGCTCAAACCTAAACAATACTCCCGCCAGTGAAAAAGACAAAGGTTAGAGTTTTCTTGCTGAGGTGAGAAGCAGCAATTAGAATTAATCCCAACATTTGCGATCTCCTCTCCATTCTGGCTGTGCTAGCTAGTAGGATTCTTATTCCTTGGAGGGTGGGACGGCTTAACTTCAATGCACAAGGTGGAAATGAAAGTCAGCCAGTACTGAAGCAGCCAGGTTTAAAATCATGCCGCCATTTGGCAAAATATCAGCCCAGGTTTTCATTGTCATTAGTAGCAGATGGAGTTAATCCTGTAGATCAGTGTAATGCCTTCTTAACCTTCTGCAACTTAACCCCTGCACTTCCTCAACCCCTTTATTCCCCTCACCCATCTTTGACTCTAAACTAGCTGGAAACTTGGGTGGAGAAATGGCAGATGGCATTTAATCCAGACAAGTTTGAGGTGATGCATTTTGGGACGACAAATGCAAGAGGGAAGTATACTATAAATGGCTGGACCCTTGGGAACATTGATATGCAGAGGAATCTTGGGGTGCAAGTCCATAGGCCCTGCAAGTGGCAACGCAAGTGGATAAGGTGGTAAAGAAGGCAAACGGCATACTTGCCTTCATCCGTCAGGACGTTGAGGATAAAAGTTGGCAAGTCATGATGCAACTATGTATAAGACTTTGGTTAGGCCACAGTTGCGGTACACTGTGCAGTTCTAGTTGCCACACATAGGAAGGATGTGGAGGCTTTGGAGAGGGTGCACAAGAGGTTTATCAGGATAACCAGGTGTGGAGCTGGATGAACGCAGCAGGCCAGGCAGCATCAGAGGAGTGGAAAAGCTGACGTTTCGGGTCTGGACCCTTCTTCAGAAAAGGATGTTGCCTGGATTGGAGAGTATTAGTCAAAATTTTAAAAAAAATCCCTCTAATAACATTTTCTGATTACAGAGTTGTTTGAAGAGAAAATCTTTACTCGGACTTTAAATTAGTTGAATATATTGATCAACTGCCAGTGGAATGGTGTAGAATGTGAGGCAAGGACACTGCATGTTCTGATATGAATTTGAATCTCAAAAACATGCCAAATTTTCAGGAACTTTTCGTGATGTTTTTGGGAGTACAGGATATGCATTTGAGGAATCTTCATTTTGGAAATTGGAAGACGTCAAGTTTTCGAAAGTGAGATTGTTTCAATTTTGGGTGTGCAGACTCTAATTGAAATAGTTCCAATTGGGTTTAGCATAAAGTTTGAGCTTGGGTGCATGCAATATTGAGACTTCCTACAGGTTGTAAAGCGAAGTTGGTTCACAGAGTTTGCAGCAAGGTAATTTTGGAGCTATTGCATGTATCCCTGATAAAGGTTTCAAATGATTTAAAGGCTTTTTCTTGCTATTTCTCTGTTAATTGTACTGGTGCAAGGTAATATTGAAAATATAGTAGTTTTGGACGAAGGAAAATTGACTTAAATGCAAAATATAGATGAAAATCTGAAATAAGAACAGCGAATGCTTGAAGTAAAGAACAAGTAAAGCAGTATCTAGAATGACATTTCAGATCAATGTCCTTGCACCAAAAATGGATAAAATTAGAGATGCAAGTGTTTAAGCAACTGAGGCTGGAGAAGGCAAAAGGGAAACAAAGAGCAAATGAGAAAGTATAGAATAAGTGGAAGGTAGAAGGATTAAATGACCAGATAGGATGATGATGCAAGGCAAAATAGATTGGAAATAAGACAAGAAAAGATGAGGCTGGAGGAGACATAAATGGCAACAAAAAAACTATTGTTATCTAACGCTGAAAAAAATGAACAGTGTATATGGCATGAAATTGTTGAACTTAATTATGAGGCTAGATAGTTGTAAAGTGCCTAAATGAATGATCAGTGCTGCTTCGTAAATTCCATTGAGCATCACTGGAAGACTGTACAAGGCCAAGGACAGAAAGTCAAATTGGGAGTTATGGGAGACTTGAATTGGCAGGCAGCCAGTAACTTGAGGTCAAGCTTGCAGACTGAATGAGGGTGTTTCCTTAAAGTGATCAACCAAAATCCTTTATATTTACTACTTTTTCTGATTTTGGCCAAGTCTCTGGACAGTTTTTCTTTGAAAGAAATTTGCTATTGTTTAGTTGTGATTGAATTATTAAAACTGGTCTAACTATGGGCTATTTTATTATTCCCACAGTACGCTTTGCACCATACAGACCTCCAGATATCTCCTTGAAGCCACTTCTGTTTGAAGTACCCAGCATCACCACTGATTCAGTGTTCATTGGTCGGGACTGGCTCTTCCATGAAATAGATACACAGTTAAAATGTGGTAACCCGAGTGTGAACAGAGGGGTAGTGATTATAGCCAATATTGGATTTGGGAAAACAGCCATCATCTCAAGACTGGTTGCACTCAGTTGTCACGGTTCTCGAATGAGACAGATTGCGTCTGACAGTCCACATGCATCACCAAAGCGTATGTACTTATTCATAAATGTTTGCTTTATTTTAATGCATGTGTATACGAGAGCCTGCTCAGCAATCTATCTATATTTTTGTCTCATCACTTTTCTCTCTCCTTTTACTCCGAAGTTTTCTGTTTCAGCTGTAACTTGTCTTCATTATGTTCATAAAAAAGTTTGTTCATGCACAACTGAAGGATTAATTAGGTTTGAAAGGATGATGGTCGTCCTACATATTTATTGGAAAATTTTGACTGTACTAGATAGTTGATTTATACTGATATTTTGAAATAAACTGATATTTAACAGAAGAACTTTTCACGCACACAACTCTCAGCCAATCGCTGAATTGTGATGTGAAGCCTTCCTAGTCTTGGAAGGGTATGTGTTGATCCAGTAAAAAGCTGAAGTGAGAGAGCACCTTGCAATTAAAGATCTGAAAGGCATGGAATTTCTGTAATGTGGCATGCTGTGTGTTGTGCTGCAGAGCTGTAGAAGAGTATCCTGAGCAGTCATGCTATCAGGAGAATGTGCCAAAGAATGCAGGAAATCTGATTTAGAAACTGAGTCCCAGACTAATTCCCTTAGTCTGGGACTATACCAAAAAGGCACGTGTTTCTTTCTGTGAGTCAATGATCATGTAGAAGCTGTGTCTACTGTAATTATTTTGAGTTCTTATTTAAATATAGTTTAATCCTCTTATCATTGTACACAGATTGAGCAAAATGTCTTCAGGACTGTATATTTAGATTTTAATTCCTATCTATTTAATATATTTGAAAAATAATAAATGTTATTAGTTAGCATTAACTAGATGGAGTCCCTGTTTAGGATAAGAGGTATAATTTAATACCTTTTCCTCATTATTGTAATTAAATCCATGTAAGATACAGTTCAGTTAAGATGTCTGTACAGTTTGGTCTGAACCTAGTAGAATATTTAGAGCTAGAGAATGAAGGTCACCTCCAGACATTTTTCTGTTTTAGAAAAATGAAATATTATATTCATGAAAAGCAACTATTTAAAAACAGGAAAACGTCTGGCATAGATGTTCATAGATCAAGTCTCAATTACCTACCTGCTTACTGTTAGTGCCACAAGTGATTGAGTAGACTGTCGCCCTAACTTCCCCAGTTCTGTTGGCAGAGAAATTGCATCACAGTATTTGCCAATCTTAGGCTTAGCAGATAAATTTCGTCCTGATCTCATTTGTCTAGTCCAGAAGAAGGAAATCATTATCTAGTTCCTTGGTAATGATTTCCTCCTTCTGGAGAAAAATTGCTGCAACGTAGTAGCATAAGACAGCTAGCTTCACCTGTTGTTGAAATTTTTGATCCGAGTTCCCCATTGAGGATAATTCAGGTAAACTGAAAAGGTTGTTGTTTTGGATGTAACATCACTTTCTCTGAGATTAACAATTTTTCCTATATATACGTAAAAACTGCCTGAAGAGAGAGAACAATTTTTATTTGTATAGTACATTTAATATAATAAAATGTCTGCAGGTTTCGTGCAGAAATATTATAAAACAAAGTTTCAGACAGAGCCACAAAGGGGGAGAATGGATCACAAGATCATAGGTTTTGTCAATGAGGTAAGCTTTAAGGAGCAAAGAGAAAACTGAGGGAGAAATGAAGAGGTTTCGCTCAGGTATTCTGGAGCTTGAGGCCTGTGCAACTGAAGGCAGGCCTGTCAGTTGTGGACGAATCAAAATTAGGATGCGGAAGATGCCAGAATTTTAAAAGCGCCAATTTCTCAGAGCGTTGTGAGGTTAGAGGAGATAAGAGGCAAAGCCATTGAAGTGCTTGAAGACTAGTAAGAGAATTTTACGTTTAAGACATTACTTGACTTGGAGTCAATATAGGTCATTAATCACAGCAATGATAGTCATAATGGCTGTTGAGTGAATTAAGACGTGAACAGCAGAGTTTTTGGATGACCTCAAGTTTGCGGGTAGGATGTAAGAGACCAGCAAGGAGAACCTTGAAATAATCAAGTCTCAAAGTAACGTAAACATAACCGAACATTTCAGCAACAGACAATTTGAGCCGGGATGAATCTGCACAATGTTCAGCAGGTGGAATAATGTGATCTTGGTGATGGCACCAGTAAGAAGGCAGAAGCACATTTTGGGTTCAAGCGTAATGCCAAGGTTGTAACAGGTGGACTTAGTCTCAGACTATTCCAGACAGTGAGTTTGGAGTTGGGAGATAGGGAACAAAGTTTGGAGTAGGGACTGTTATCAATTGCTTCAGTTTTTTGCCCAAATTTAATCAGAAAAAAATTGTAATCTTCCAATATTTGATGTTGGCTAAGCAGTCTGATAACTTAGCCTGGTAGTGCAGTTGAGTGATATATGCTGAGGTAGAGCTGCATGTCATCATCATACATATGCAAACTAACTCTGATTTTGGATGATGTCAGTAAGGGGCTGGATGTAAACATGAAACAAGAGGAGTAAGAATATATTTTTGCGAAACACTTGCGTTAATGATGCAGGAAACTCTCTGTCCCAAGGAGTTTGGATTCTCAGTTATGGAATCATAGAGTCATACTGCACAGGAACAGACTCTTTGGTCCAACTCCTCCGTACTGACCAGGTTTCCCAAACTAAGCTAGACCCATCTGCGTGTGTTTGGCCCTTATCCCTCTATACCTTTCCTAATCATGTACCTGTTTCAAATGTCATTTAGATGTTGTAACTGCATCTACCACTTCCTGTGGCCATTCATTCCACAGATGAACCACCCTCTGTGAGAAAAGGTTGACCCTCAGATCCCTTTTTAATCTTTCTCCTCTCACCTTAAAATTATGCCCTCTAATTTTGAATTCCCCTACCCAAGGAAAAAGGCTCTTGCTTTTCACTTTATCTATGCCCTTCATAATTTTATAAGCCTTCAGAAGGTAGCCCTGTCAATCTCCAACACTCCAGTCAAAAAAGTCCCAGCCTATCCAGCTCTCCTTATAACTTAAACCCGACAGCCCTGGTTACATCCTTGTAAGTCTTTTCTGCACCCTCTCCAATTTAATAATATCCTTCCTATAGCAGGGTGACCAAAACTGTACTCAGTACTCCAAAAGTGGCCTAACCAATGTCCTATACAACTACACCATGACGTCCCAACTCCTATACTCAATGGCCTGAGCAATGGAGACTAGCGTGCCAAACTCTGCCTTAACCACCTGCCTACCTATGATGCAACTTTAAAGACTCTATACACGTGAACCCCTATGAGTTTCTGTTCAACGACACGCCCCAGAGCCGTGCAAGTCCTGACTTTGTTCGTCTTACCAAAATGCAACATCTCATGTTTATCGAAATTAAACTCCATCTGACAATCCTCGGGCATTGGCCCAATTTATCAAGATCCCTTTGAATCTTAGATAACCATCTTCACTATCTGCTGGTCTAACTCTATATATCTGCCTTTGGTCCACATCCCTTAATAGGTTTGCTAACAAAAATGTATCTATCCCAGATTTAAAATTTACCACTGATCTGGCATCAACTGCAGTTTGTGGAACACAGTTTCAAACATCTACCACCCTTTGTGCAGACGTTGTTTGGTATATTCAAGGCAGACCTTGATGTGCAGCTCTGTTATCCCAATGTAGCATTCTGTTATCCCAGTATCTCAGAGGTGATTTTAGACCTCCGAGCTTCAGTATGTTTGGGAGTCAGATCACTGACCTGGTCATTGAGTTACACAACTGTTTTATGTTGCTATGTGTCAGAAAAATTAATTTTGACAGTTTTGTCCAGACTGTTTGGATCTCTAGGTTGATTAGTTGCAGTTTTAACCCTCTGGTGATTTTCTATTTTTTCCGGAAAATTTATAGCTTATTTTGTCTAGACATTTGACTGAAATAGTGAGTCTCTCTTAACCCCTTCAACTGATAACCTACAAGCTACATGAAGCAAACCCCAGAGTACACTTGAGTATGAAAGACAATCTTACTAGAATGAATATGGAGAGTAGATAGATATGTCAAAAGCATTGTGGGACAGGTTTGAGAAGTGCATGCTTCATTCAACTAAGATCAGAAATATAAAACTGTTGCAAGTAGACAACTGTTGCTTCATGTTTAAATTGAGATTAAGAAAACATGTTTACAAAACTGTAGTGAGAATTTGCCATTGGTTTTGGCAGCAGTCCATAACATATACTAAGGATGTTAAGGAATATGAAACAGAGATATAGAATTGCTTACAAAACAGAACTGAAATATTTTTCTAAACATGCGACAGCAAGAAAGTAACTAGTAAAAGATAAAATGTTCGGTAATTGGAATGAAGATCAATGTGTGTATGCACAAGATGCTAAAATGGCCACTTAGTGATTACTGATTTTCTCTCCAACTTCACAACCTCTCCAATTTCCCTTCCTTTCTATCACTGAGCCAGTATCAACCATCACTTTCCTTCACTTTCATGATCTTTTATTTGTGGACAAATCTTTTGTTCTATATTTTATCAATGGAAGTTGAGATTTTGTGGATAGACTGGGAAGTTGAAAAGCAATAGATCATTTGGGGATGAGTCAAATGGATCTCAGATTTATCTGTGAGACTTATAAAGCAGTGAAGGCTTTTTTGAGGAGGTCGATAACCATTTAAGAGGTTCTAGCAGATTGAAAACAACCATATATAGTTCCTGCACTCATGGGTAACAGTGGTTCAAAAAACAGTTCACCTCCATGTAGGATAACAAGGTGTAGAGCTGGATGAACACAGCAGGCCAAGCAGCATCAGAGGTGCAGGAAAGCTGACGTTTCGGGCCTAGACCCTTCTTCAGAAAAAATCT